GATCGAGTCATAATCAGGTGTGATTGCTAGAAGAGAGGGAGGAGTGAAGTCATTGCACAATAAATTGTATCTTTTCAGCATCAGCAGCTGCACATAACATGCCAATACAGCACAATAATAAAAATAATGCGAATTGGCCAAATCATCATTTATGAGAGTGAACTGATCTGTATAATGGAGGAGAGGGAAGGAGAGAGAGGATAAAAAATAATAGACATGTACATGTACATGTACAATGTATATGTACAAGTACACCGTATGTGAATTTCAAAAAAGGTAGATAATAATTAAAATAACACTAACTTTTAATGTGAATGTACATATGCATGTACATAGAGTATCGAACCAAAATGAAGGACAAGGACATGACCTAGAGAGGAGAGAAGGAGAGAGGGGGGAAGAAAGAGAGGTATTACAATATAAATGGATCAGTACATGTACTATTATTATTATTTTTTATCTATTTATGCCATTTTGGCATAAAAATAGATTAATTATAATAGTGTATACATGTACTATGTAGTACGTGTACATTGTATATGGAGTAGTGCTGATTCAGCCTGTTTATTACACCAGTTTATGAAGGAGATATGTAAACAAGCTCAACAAGCAATGTACATGTACATGTAAAAAATGCAGTGTTTTTCCTATAGGCATGTCACTTTTTAAAGTGGATTTTCAAAGTTGCTTACATAACAACATTGAAAATGCATTGTAGCATAAAATTTTGATCACGAGAGTACATGTAGGATTTTTATTTTGTATTTGTGTTGGTTGTTTGGAATCCTGTTTGTCTTTGTTTCAATTACTTTTTGACAAATTAAAACAAAGTAAAACTGAATTTTTTTGAAAAATTTTATAAACTTTAGTGCAGGGTGTTTTACCAAAATTGAAAGAGGGAATTCTCCATTTTTATAATTATTTCTGTATTCATGTCATATAGCCAAATTGAGCTGAATCTAACCAAATTTGGATTTTTACTGTTTAAGTTGCTGAAATATCACCCTGTACTACATGTATTGGTCTTGGGCCACATTTCGTCAAAAACTGAAAAGGAGGAAATTCTCCAATTAAAAATTTTTTTCAGAATCTCATACATGAAGTTTGAATTGAATCCAACAAAGTTGAATTTCTAAAGTTACTCAAAAATTGGGCCAAAGTCAGTTTAATTTAGTACATTGTCTCAAATTTTGCCAAATGGAAAAGGAGAGAATTTTTATTGCTTTGTGCATAATGCCAGCAATACATCTATAATACAGTGAATTCTCCAACAAAATCAGTTTTGCCCATTAACTAGGAAGGTTAATGTTAATATTTACCGTATAGCGAGAAATTTTCGTGGATTTTGCGTTTTTTTCAAAATCCACAAAAATAAAATCTGTGAAAATCAATTTAATATAGTTCAAGATGGCCAAAAAATAGAAAACCACAAAAATTAAAGCCACAAAATTGATTTTTAGATGGATCCACGAAAATTTTGGGCTACGAAAATTTCTCGCTATACGGTATACACGTACATACACATGTACATGTACATGCATTGCTACATATAGATTACTGTACCTTTACAAATCATGGTACAGTACATACAGTAGGTAACATTCAGTATTAGAAATCCCATTGCTTTATATTATAGGTAAACCGATATATAGTGGGTATGACTTACATATTGATATTTCTGCTCAGTATTCTTCCTCCTATGACGTCTTTTCTCAATAATAGCATCTTCATCATCTTCAAACTCTAATGATGCATCCAATATACTGAGGAAGGAGAGAAACAGAGACAAAACTTATTATTATAAACGAAATACCCTGTACACTACATGTATACTTAGTATTTTTAATGTACAAGTACATTGTACATTGTATTAATTTTGGCAAGCAATTTCAAAATTTTATAAAAATTTTTAAATTGATCAAAATCAACTCAAACTTCTTACACAACATAAGAAAATGTACATGTATTTGCATCAGGAAAAGTTATAAAAAGGGAATTTTTCTCCTATTTAATGTGGCAAAATTTGGCCAAAGATCGATACAGGTTTTGGTCCAATTTTTTAGTAACTTTAAAAGTTCATAAAAATCTAATTTTGATCGGAATCAGCTAAAACTTTTTTACACAACTAAAAAATATGTATATGCATTAGGATTATATATAATAAATGAAACATTTTGTACTTTTTGTTTTGGAGTAACTTCAAAAATTAAAAAAAAAATAAAATTTTGATCAGAATCAGCTTTAACTTTCAACACAACATACGCATAGGAACACGTATACATTTATGTACTTACAGTATGCTGATTAATTATTATTATTATTATTATTATTATTATTATTATTATTATTATAAAATTTTACAGACAAAGACAAGGGAAGTGAGAAGGACAGAGAAGATAAATGAAACAGAAGAAAAGTCTGAGGGGATACGGTTTACTTGAAACCGCACCCTGAGAAAAATAATTAATGAGAGAGAGAAGGACAGGTAGGAATGAGAGAACATTTATAGCAAGGACAGATAAAATGATAAGGGCATGCATTGTTAGAATCAAAATTATTTATAAAATGGTCAATCATATGGTTGGTTACTGATTTTTTGATTGATGTGATGGATTGGTTTAGGTTGATTTCTGGGAGAGAGTTCCACAGGCGTGGTAGACGGTGAAAAAATGAATGTTGAAGGACAGAGGAGGAAGACAGAGAGTGTTGTAGCTTAGATTTGGAAGTAGAGCGAGTAGTAATAGGGTGGGAGCAGAAAGAGAAGTAATCTAATATATGAAATGAGGGGAGGGATTTTGAGAGA